CCCAAGGTTCGGTTCTAGGACCGGTTTTGTTCAATATCTTTATTAATGACCTGGATGAGGGGATAGATTGCATCCTCAGCAAGTTTGCGGATGACACTAAGCTAGGGGGAGAGGTAGATACGCTTAAGGGCAGAGATAGGGTCCAGAGTGACTTAGACAAATTGGAGGATTGGGCCACAAGAAATCTGATGAGGTTCAACAAGGACAAGTGTAGTGTCCTGCACTTGGGACGGAAGAATCCCAAGCATAGTTACAAGCTGGGGACCAACCGGTTAAGTAGTAGTTCTGCAGAAAAGGACCTGGGGGTTACAGTGGATGAGAAGCTGGAGATGGAGTCAACAGTGTGCCCTTGTAGCCAAGAAGGCTAATGGCATATTAGGTTGCATTAAGAGGAGCATTGCCAGCAGATCCAGAGATGTCATTATTCCCCTTTATTCGGCTCTGGTGAGGCCACATCTGGAGTATTGTGTCCAGTTCTGGGCCCCCCACTACAAAAATGTGGAAAAGATGTGGAGAGGGTCCAGCGGAGAGTAACCAAAATGATTAGGGAGCTGGAGCATATGACTTTTGAGGAGAGGCTGAGTGTGTTGAGTCTGTTTAGTCTGCAGAAGCGAAGAGTGAGGGGGGATTTGATAGCAGCCTTCAACTTCCTGAAGGGAGGTTCCAAAGAAGATGGAAAAAGGCTGTTCTCAGTAGTGACAGATGGCAGAACAAGGAGCAATGGTCTCAAGTTGTGGTGGGAGAGGTCCAGGTTGGATATTAGGAAAAACTATTTCACTAAGAGAGTGGGTTACCTCGGGAAGTAGTGGAGACTCCATCCCTAGAGGTGTTTAAGTCTCGGCTTGACAAAGCCCTGGCCGGGTTGATTTAGTTGGGATTGGCCCTGCCTAGAGCAGGGGGCTGGACTTGATGACCTCCTGAGGTCTCTTCCAGTTCTATGGTTCTATGATATTGAAAATCAATATTCCCTTTCCCCAGGGACCTGCTCACCCACATCAGTTTCTTTGTTCGCATCCTTCTCTCATCTTTTCATTTGGGTTGTTTTCTTATCAACATCTTTTCCAACCCAATCTTACCCACAGTGAATACTCACTTTGTGTCCCAGGAATACAAAGAATTTAGAACATTTGTCCAGAGCTGCTAAAATGGCCTGACTAAATGTCCATCTTACGTTTTTGGTGCCTTATGTTTCTTTTTAACTTAACAATTACTATGAATAGCCATATTTGGGCTCCTGTCTTGTTAGAATGTTATCCCATGATGGGATGATCTGTTGTTATCCCAATTTATTGCATTTTATGTGGTGGTGGTTTAATTATTATTATTATTATTATTAACAAATTAGGGAAAGCTATTCCATCCACTTTTACAGAACTTAGAACTCACCCTTGGTCTTGTTTCTATGTGAATTTTAATAGTTTCTAATATGTCAGTCATGCCAGCAGAGATGTACTGAAACAAAATTTTCTGGGAAGACATGCATCTTTACCAAGGCTGCCCTTCCTACCCAGTTTATTTCTTATTTGTTCCATTTTTTCCGAGACTTTTGTCGTTTTATTTTACATTGAAGGGGCACTTGGCTTAAAATGATTTTTATTTTTTCCATAGTATTTATTCTGAACTATTTAAAGATTCCTTTACTCATTCAAGTTTATGTAAGTGTGACAACAGTTTGCTTGGACCCTTTTGGGAATATTAACTCCTAACATTTGGGCTATCGCTACACTGCTGGCTTTTGCTGACAGAGTATGCAAATGAAGCACTGATTAGCATTTTGTCACACTTTGTTTGCATGATCTATTTGAGCAGTTTTTGCGCAAAAACAAGCAGTGTGGATGTTTCCCGGAGAGGGATAAGGATCATGAGCAAAAAGAGGTTTTTGCGCAAAAAGGAAACATCCACACAGCTTGTTTTTGCGCAAAAACCCCTCGCGCAAAAACAGCTCAAATAGATTATGCAAATTAAGAACGACGAAATGCTAATCAGTACTTCATTTGCATACTCTGTTGGCAAAAGCTGGCAGTGTAGACAAAGCCTTCGGGTTTATTGTTGTTTAGTTTGAAGTTTGATGCTTACCCAAATTCCAGAGTTCTATAATTTTTTTACTCCTGCAAATATAACAAGGCATTGGCATGGAAAACTATTATTCTGATGCCTCTTATCACAGGACTGTTTCATTGCAAATGGCTCCATTTTCAGAGGAAGCTAGGAACATGACATAGCCATTCTTCTGTTGTACCCCTAAAGAAAATAAAAAGAGGGATGCGTCCTAAATATTTACCTTATTCCCACTTTTTGAAAGCTGCCTACCACTCAGCATCTTCCCTCTTCTCAGGGGCATATTGCATATAGGAAATGACAAAGCTTCAAGAAGGAGCTGTTAAAATAGTCCACTGATGGAGTGCTCTTCTTGACGAACATGCTGGGTGCTTCATACACTTAATATAATTTAGTATTTCTATTGGTAGTCATACTTGAGTGCTCTTACAGCAGTGGTCCCCAACGTGGTGCCCGCGGGCGCCATGGCCCCCGCCGGGGCATTTATGTGCGCCTGCTGAATCATCTGGGCTGGCTGGGAGGCGCCAGCGCTGGGTGCACAGGGCTGGAGTGGCCCCAGCCCCAGGGCACATGCGGGCGCGCGGTGCAAGGGCATCCCCACCCCTGGCGTGCCCCAGGACGCGCAGCCCTGCCCCTGGGCGCCCGGGAGCCGAGTGGCTCCACCCCCTCGGCGCAACGCGCCGGGGTGGCC